CCCCCCCCCCCCCAGGCCCCCACAGACGCCCGCACTAGTCCGGCCGAGAGCTTGTAGAAATTGGAATAGGTGTAAATAAGATGGCTGTCAGGCCTGTCACCGGCAGACACGCTCAGACGGCCTCCGTCACAACACACACATACACACACACACACACACACACACACAGGTGTGTGTGTGGCTCCACCAGTCCGGGTGGAAGTGACATGCACCCCTGAAGAATAACACACCCCACCTGCCTTTACCTGCTGGATAGACAGGGTTTAAGTGACAGGCAGAAAGGCTCGTGTGCGCACACACACACACACACTTTCAAGGGGTGGCAGAGACGTGTCTAAGTGACAGAGGGACAGACAGTCTCAAACAAACACTGAGGAGACACCCCTAAGTGACGGACACACACACACAGGCAGCCGGGTGCTTAAGTGGAGCTGAAGGGAGCAGTCAGGCAGAGGTAAGGGTTTGTCTGAGCGTTCATCACTCGGTTTATAGAACTGTCATTCACACACACTCACACACATATGTCCCCCCTCTCCCTCCGAGATTGATGGGTAAAGTGTCAGTCTCCATCAGTTCACCCCAGTCTCTCCCTCGTCCCCGACCACATCTCGCTCTTTTCCTCATTTATCTTAGGCTTATTTAAAACTGTCATTTGCTTTGGGCTGGCGCGTCTTTTTTTTTTTTCCTTTTAATAAAGAGTTTTGTCGGTTTTTGAAAGCCAGAGGTGGAGCCAGTGTTTGTTTTCACTCATCCATATGGAACCATGTATGTGGAAGTCGATGACAGCTTCAGCAGACACAAAAACACCAATGAGAAGTTAACTTTAGCATAAAAGAGAAGCTGTTGCTCTCCAGTAACCTGCTTTTGAACTCGTTTAGTGTACACACCACTCTACTGAAGTCTATCAAGCCCCACTTGTGTCTGTTTTTAAGCTTAAGAGGAACAAAACGTTCCTTTAATCTTTTAAACTGGTCCCAAACGATTATTAAGGCCTGATGTTTGACTGCATCCTCAGTTCAGATGATGAAACTGCTGTTTACCACAAACAGACAACTTGACTAAGAACCTATTTTAAATGTTATGTATATGATCTATTGTTTGCGACTTGTTTTTATTTACTTCCATCAACTAAAAAAACAAAGATGCCTCAACAAGATGATAAATAAACGATCTTAGCTTGGAGTTAAAGATATCCTAGAGAGAGACTGGACAGGTGGGGCTGGTCCAGGAGCGGGGGCTGTGTCCCCCCCAGGGCCGGGACCTCAATATTACTGTGGTTATGGGGGTCATTTTGAGAGAAAATGGAACAAATTAAGGTCTTTGGGCTGTCCTAAACCCAGCCAGCTGAACGTTGTGTTAACTGGTGTCTGAAACTCCCCGCTCTCTGTGCACAGGAACGGGTTTCGCCACGTGTAGCATCAAAGAGAGCGCCGCCGACAGCGACGCCGACCTGGACGTGGACGGGGACGACACCCTGGAGTACGGCAAGGCCCAGTACACCGAGGCCGACATCATCCCCTGCTCCGGGGCCGGCGAGGACCAGGGAGAGGCCCGGGAGAGGGAGGCGCTACGGGGAGCTGTGCTCAAGTAAGGCCCCACGGGCAGAGCAGCCTTAGGGCGGGGGGGGGGCTCCGGGCCGCCGCTCACACTGACCGTTGTGTCTTTTTCTTGCAGCGGCGGAATGCCGTCAAACAGAATAACGCCCGAATTCTCCAAATGGGCCAGCGATGGTAAGAACAGTGACTTTATGAGAGCTAATGACAGAGGGTAGAGTCCCGTCTGTGTGGCCTCTGTAGCCAGGCCCGCTCCCAGTGACCCCCGCTGCCCCTTTGCGTTGCAGAGATGCCCTCTACCAGCAACGGAGAGAGCAGCAAGACGGACGCCAGCACCCCCTCGTCCTCCTCATCTTCCTCCTGCGCCCCACGCACCTGCAAAAACAGCGAGATCGAAAAGTAGGTGGCAGAAAGGCTCCATTTTCTGTTTTTACTCACAATTAATCATTTTTAATTACACTGAACTTTAAAGGCACTTCTTAAAGGCTCCAGCCTACTGTACTCTCATAGCTTTCAGTGTTCCCTCTTTTCACTAACTAGGAAGTCAACCCCCCCCCCTCGCTCACCTGTAGCTGCCAGTATCAGACCTTTGGGTGGTCTGACCTTTGCTGTGCTGGCCACGAATAAATTATCATAGTCTCAAGAGAAATGTCAGTTTCCTCCTTTAAACGGTCGTCATTACGGAAGCCTCACAGAAGCATCCTCCCCAAAAGGGTTTCATCTTTCCGCTGTCTAAAGACTTTGGTTCTCTAAATTTCCCCTCAAACAGACTTTCTGTGGCAGAAATGTTCGTTTGTGATGTTGTATCTGAGGCTTTAGTGGCCACCTGGAGCAGAACATCCCTTAATCTAAGTATCCGTTTAAAGGAAGCCAACTAGATGCTGAATGATTGCATTGGAACAAGCAGTCAGCTCCCTGCTGGAACAATTCCCTGCCTCACTTCTCTCCGCTTGCTATAAATGCACGTATTTGTGGAGCTTCTGTGCCCTCCCGTCCTCAAATGAAAATGAGATTTGTCTCCTTTTGTTACATTGATACATTGTACATGTGTGTATATATTTATATATGTGTGTGTGAGTATGTGTGTGTGTGTGTGTGTGTGTGTGTGGCACAGGGTAGCCTTAGTGAAATCTCTCTCCCTCTTGCCTCTGATCCCAGATGGGTAATGATCTGGTCGCCTCCCGGGGCGTCCTCGTTCCCCTGCTCATTCCCCTGCAAGATAAATGAGCTCTTTTTCTCTCTCTCTCTCTTTCTCTCTCTTTCTCCTCGTCTCTCTCTCACACACAGACACGCACACACACACACATCCACGCATCCAGCGCCTGAGACGCTCTTTCCCCTCCAAGATAAATGGCCTCTCCAATGCCGCCAATGTGATTGCTGCCAAATTTGTGCTCCAGCTGGAACAATGCTGAGTGATTTCAATGTGGTTTCTGCAAATAATTGAATCTGTCCTCAATTTGGAAGTGATGAAGCTAGATTTTTCTGCCCCCCCCCACCACCCACCCACCCCCGCACATACACACACACACAGACGTCTCTAACATCGCTTCTCTCATTCTTAGCTTTGTTTCTCCACCCTTCCTTCTCTTCCTTTCTTTTTTTGTCCGTGTCTTCCTCCGTCTCAATTCTTCTCACTCACGAGATTTCCCCAAACCCAAGCTCCAGCCCCCTCCCATCTGAGACCCCCCCACCCACACACACACACACACACACACACACACACACAGGCACGCCGCACAGGCAGGGGAAATCAATAGTGACTTAAATGTTTTATCATGGTGTGTCAGTGTGGTTAAGGCCTCTGTTAACAGGGAGCAGCACACAGCCGAGCTCCGGGGGGATTTACAGCCGCCGGGTTTGTGCAGCCCGCACACGCTCGTGAGAGGTTTATCTCCCGACGTGCGAGAGGGACAAGCTCCCCAGAATAGTTTTCAAGATTAATTGCTGTTTAATTTCTAGCAACCGGGCGCTCCCGTGCTGAGAGGGAGGCCGAACCGGGCCAAAATGTAGACAGACAGCAGATGAAGACACGCAGCTGATTGAGATGGATGGTGGAGGTCTCCAGCTACACACACTCTCACACACTAATGAAATGAGAAATAGGCCGGGACGCGTCGGGGACAGGGCGCTAAATAGAGGGGGAGGCCGGGCCATCTATCTGCCTCTGCTGGGCTCACTGGCTGCTCTTGAAATGGAAACGGGCTCCGTGTGTCCCACACATGTGCAGGGGGCCCTTTGGGGCCACTTGCAGCCGTGATATGCTGCGTTAAGTTTTGGAAATTTTATATCGGCCCTTTAAATCAAGGCCGCAAATGAATTTGGAGCTTCATCCCAGTGTGCCCACAAAAGCTCCTGACTTTTACGAGCCCCGGACAGCAGCCAGGGGCCAAACAGTAGCTAACCGCTGCGCCCGGACCGGGACACGTCAGGAACTCTGGTGTTGGGCTCTATACAAAGTTTTTCAGCATGGATCAGGATGGAAAACTCAGGATTTCTCAGCTCCAAGACCAACAGCGTCAGCACCATGCCATCGGGTCTCAGTTTACAGTCAGAGATTTATAGACAGAGCATTTATTTTACACAGATTTCCATCTTTGGTCCTCACTGGCTCAAACCATGCCAGTTACATTTAAAAGCAAATAAGAGCAGATGAGACAAATAATTACTTGTCAATAATTAACAAGAACAAGTAACTGGAGGAAACGCCAAAATGAAGCTTTTAGCTTAGCCAAAGATCTGTTTCAAATGGATGTTTTTCTGGCTGGTTTAAGGGGTGATCGTCTGTAATTGAATGATCCTAATGATCGGAACTGAGGAATGCGTATGGAAGCATCTAAGCAGACCACAGCCCTCTAAACATAGATAAATGTCTTTTTAGAGGCGATGGCCTATCAAAATCTGTTTGGTTCCAAATCATTCATTTGTGATCTTTTAGACCTTTAAGATGCTTAAGAAAACTAAAAGGAAACCCATGTTCTCCTCCTTTTTCTTTAAATCATTTGAGAGCAGATAGTTTTTCAGGTGATTGACGGCAGCCTGTGAGGAAAAAAGAGGCAGCATCGTTTGGGGGGGGCAGCGTTTGTCATTTTTGTCCCTCCCAGGGTCCACTGCTGCGTTATGAGCTAGCTGGCTAATCAAGGCTAAATGACTTTTTACAAGCTCAGCACTAATAAGAGAGGGTAAAGTGGTTTACAGGCCGGGGGGGGGGGGGGGGGCCCGGGGGGGCCTTTATGGACAGGAGTCTGTTTCTTTACCCATAAGCGCTGGTACCTCAAGAGGCTCTACTGAATGTCTCATTTATGGTGGTGGGCGACCAGTGGCCAGCCTGGAAGTTTTCACTGTCAGCTGCTTAAATACTGAATTTACTTTCCTCACGTGCTGATGACTGCAGCTGTTGAGGACGCAGCAATCACATCCTCAGCCACACACACACACACACACAACCTACCAAGCTCTTTTACTCCCACCCTTCCTCCTTTCTTCTCCCTTCTCCCCACTTGTCCTTCCCCAACCAGATCAATACCGTAGATCAGCAGGCTATCAGGCTGCAAAATGACCACATCACCATAAATACACACTCCTGTTAACACACACACACTCACACGCGCGTCTGGCCGGAGGAGCGGACGGCTACAATCAGCCGGCCCGTGCCTGTCCGCGCCCGGCCGCCATCAGCGCTGCGGTCTGCGCGTGGCAGCTATCGATCGGGTTATGGCTGCTTCATACGCTGCCGGACAGCGTTAAATGCACATTTCCAGTTAGCACGACAGGCATCCGTCACAGGAAGGACACTGGGTGGAACACGACTCTGAGACGCAGCAGGGAAAATGAATAACCAGGCAGGGACGGATGAGGTGAAGATGAGGGGAAATGAAGGAATAGATGTCCTAAAGAGAAAGCAGGACAACAGAGAGGTGTGGATGTTGGGTTGGTGGAATGAGAGATTTTTGATGATTTTTATTCATTTATCACGTGAAACTGTAAATGTGGAGGATAAAGTGATGTAAACAAGTCAATACTCCACATACACTGAATGGTTTATGTAGATGAAGTCATGTAATGAGACAGTCATTTTAAGCCTGTGATGCTCATAAAGTTGTCGCTTTTTCAGTAGGAGCCTTTCATTCTTCTTTTAATTCTTCCAACTCTGCCTTCATCTCACACTTAGCTGCTTTTTTTTAAGGGTTTTTCTTTTCTTTTTTTCTCTCATTTTCAGACTGGTGTGTTTTAAAACCTTGGCCCCCATAATGGTGATCATTTTCTGTCCTTTTCCACAAGGGTGACGGAGGAGGAGTCCACAGCGACCACTATGGAAGCCCTGAAGGCCCGAATCAGAGAGCTGGAGAAGCAGATCCTGCGAGGGGACCGATACAAGTGTCTCATCTGCATGGTGAGGATCCCTTCCACCTGAGGGGGGGGGGGTCTGTTGTGTGAGGGCACAGCGTACAGCACTTCCTGAACTCCACGCTTTACCACAAAGAAGCCACGGGCTGATGGTAGTTTTAACGGCAACAGGCCCTCTTATGGTTGACAGACTCGGGCTGAATTATCAGTGACTTCCACTGATCCTTCCACCGGGTTTTCTGATTGGGTCAGTGGCCTGTAGTTGGTAAATGACACAGTCCCACCAGTCGGCCTTTGGTTTCACCCTTCACAGATCCAGCTGTGCCGCTGTCCCCTCTCTGTTCCGTGTGCTGGAGTCTTGTGCATGTGTGTGTGTTGGAGCTGTAATAGTCCCGTTTGCTGGCTGTGTCCGTGCTATGTTTTGGTGGGGGGTGTCTCTGTGCATGGCTACGCAAGTCTACTGGCATAAACCATCATCAGCTCAATGTGATTGGTTTCTCACAGCGGGAAACCATACCAGATCCTGACGCCACATCTAGATTATTCAGTCCATTCATTACCATTGCATGGAGAGTTTCTCCTGATGACCACAGCGCAAGCAGACAGTTTCTCTTCTCGGATGTTTTGGCCGTTTTTTCTCAGCAAAACGATCCCCAGTCCAGTTTTTTACTGCAGCCCGTGTTTGCTGCAGTGGCTAGGCTTGGCTTTTGGTTTGCTCTTGGATTCAGCAGAATGAAAACTGCACTGTGACAGCCCTTGAGCACTTCTCTTTGCTCTGACCGCGCCCCTTTTGGGGACGGAGCATTTTTTTTTATTGGTTCTGATTCTAACCAGCACTTGAACTTGGGCTTTGACGTATATCTTTTTTTAAAACTATCCCGTTTGATTTAAAGTACTTCATATGCACATAAACAGACATATCAGTGAGGAGCAAAAAAGAGGAAAGCTTTAGCTTAAAGTGAAGAGATTCTGCTGTGCTTCCCATCTTGTTTTGATTGATCAGCTCACTGATCAATAAAATAAGCGGCGTGTCTTTGACCGACAGCATCAGGCAGAAGGAGGGCCCTTCATCCTCATCAGACATGCGGTTGTCCCCACTTTGTATCAAGTCCACATGCTGTCATCCCTCAGGCCTGTGGACAGTGCAGCGTCGGCATCCTGGGTGTGTGTGTGCGTGTTTGTGTGTGTGTGTGTGTGTGTAAAGCAGGTAATTACCAACGCCTGCGCTTCCTAAAGGTCACCGGGTGCCCGAGGTGACACGGAGGGCAAGGCACAGCAATCGATCACTCTCTGCCCAACGGACACAGGGCTCCTCTCCGCTCATCCGTCACTGTCCCTTATCTCTCATACACACCGAGGCCTACAGAGAAACACAAATATGCGCGCTCCCTCAGACGTCTTCCATCTAATCTATCTCCGTCCGTCTTCCAGTCATCCCTCTGCTGCCTCCCTGTCACTTTGTCTGATCTAAAAGTCATCAGATAACTGTCGCTGCTTGGTAATAGGGGGCACATTTTTGCACTGCAGCCTCTCGAGCGCCCGCCAAACTCTGGTAGCAGCTTTGAGACTTGTGAAGAGGACACACCGAGAAACATCACTCCTCTGGATTTCAAACGGATATCCTTTTTCTGTTTGCTCCCAAACCTTTACATCATTACACGATGATGGCACTGGAAGAAATCCGCTTTCATGCTCTGAAATAGTCAATATAGTCTTCTGTGCTTGTGTCCAGTTGAGGTTCAGTTTTCTACAGATCTCTACCACCATCTACTGGTCATCTTATGTAGCGCAGTTCAGCTCGGACATTAAGATTAGTTTCCCAAAAGCCTATTTTTGCATGCACATTTTTTTTTTTTTTGTACTAGTTGTAATGTCAGTCATGATGCCCGTCTTTAAGATAAGATTTCTTTATAAAGAATTTTATCATGAAAAATAGTTACACATAACTGCTAGTTTAAGATTGAAGGGTGTGTGGACGTCTGTCTGCCACAGGACCTCAGGTAGTTACGAGAATAGCTGGAGTCTAAAGAACCATAGATTAAATGTTTCAAGAAAGACAAAAACTGGTAAATGTCTAACAAGCATGACTTGGCAAGTTTTACTCCTGAAGTCTTCTTCAGGCCCAGCTCTGCAGGCTTCCTGCAGGACTCCCCAAAAGCTCTCCTTTGGCTCTTCTGCTGCCTCTTCTGTTCTGTCAGAAGATACCACACGTCTTTATTTATGCTGAGGCCTGGGCTCCGGGGGGGCATCCCTCCCTCACACCCGCTGCCACTGGTTTCCAGTGTTCTTTCTTTTCTCCCACGTTTTTGGCCACAAATATTGGCAATAAATGACGTGTCATTGAGACCGGGAAAGCACTGGCATGCAGAATCATGGAACAGTTGTTTTGGAGGCAGTGAAATATCTTGAAACACTTGCATCTTTTTTGCCATGTCACCCATATTGTGCCTCCCCCATTCAGCTCAGCCGCCCCCCCCCCCTGCCCTCCGCTGTCACTGGCGAACGCGGCCGCATCCGTTAGTGTCGGTCTGTGTGTTTGTCTTCATGTGTTTGTGCACGTAGGCGTGCGCGTGTGTGTGGGATCTGTACGGCTCTGTGATTAGCTGCCACCTTTCGTCCCCCCCCCCCCCCCCCCCCCCCCCCCCCCCCCCCCCCCAAACCCTGCTTCCCCCTCCCTTTCGCAGAGAAAGCCTGCTATCCAATCAGGCGCAGAGATCAAGAGCATAGGGGCGTGGCCAGGCTCCCGGCCACTGGCCAATGAGGTCGGAGAGCGGCAGCCTAAGTCCCTCCCCCTCGGCCTGTACTGCCTGTACAGGGGCCTTGTGATTGGTGGCTACGGCGGCAGCATAAAGAGGCTCCTCCCACAGCCCCTGCGGAGGGTAAGGCACTCCCTCCTCCCCCCCGTCTTCCTCCCCCCTTAACCCCGCCATGCCCCCGCCGTCTCTTGATTCTTTTTCACGAGGAAAAGAAATCGGCGCCCGTTCACAGCTTGCCCCCCCCCCCCCCC